CCTGTATATTATATATATATATATATATATATATATATATACATGCATATACATAACTGTACTTTAGACTAGACTAGCAACTCTCAGGAAATAATATCATAACAGTCAGGTTATTCTGTAAATAGTTTTGGTTTAATTCTGAATCAGCCCAGATGATAGGTGTCACAACCTATCGGTGTAAAAGTGGGCACTTCTGCAGCGTTAGCACACACGCTCACATGCTTTTTGATTTGTTTTGTGTTGTGTGCGTGTGTGCACTTGCTGTGTCAGTGTAAAGATTAATATTTGGAGGTTACAGTGCCAAGGCCCTTAATGCTTACCCACGCTCACCCATCCACGGGTTCAACACACAACAGACGTCCTCTCACACAAGCCTTTTTCTCCAAACCTGCTGAAAAGCACACTTTCCTGCCAAGCTGATTTATTCTCTGTCACTGGATGTGTGTGTGTGTGTAAAGTGTTGTGTAAGCAGCAGTGCGAGCACATGCGTGATGTGTTTGTGACCGTGAGCGGTGTGGTGTTCCTCCTGTCTGCCGTGGGTCCCACAGGCCTCCTTGTGTCTCTAGAGTCCCTCTATGTGAAAGCCAGTGGCCTGAGGTTAACTGCCTGCACCACTCAGCTGTTTTTACGATCGGCCCTCCAAACGCTACAAAACACCCGTGGATTTGTGTAGAGGTGCAGAGGAGATGTATAGAGGAGTTTAAGAGCCTGTCTGCCTCTCAAATTGTCCGAGTCGACTCTGTGATATACCGTCCACAGAAGGCCGCTTTAGTGGGTTTTTTTTTCTCTCAGCATTCCTGCAGAGGCCCTTAAGGCCGGTTTAAGTGACGCTATGGAATGACCCTCCGCATCCTAATGTTTTTCTCTTCTTTCTTCCTCTCCTGTAGAGAACGATGAGACCGGTGTGATGGATTGTCTGCTGGAGGCGCTGCAGTCTGGAGCTGCTTTCAGAGACCGCAGGAAAAGAGCACCCAGACCCCGAGGTGAGTCTTCTCACACTCCTCCACTCACATCCTTCATCAGTTGATGAATTATCTCTTTCTTTCTTTTTCTTTCTTTCTTTTTCTTTCTTTCTTTCTTTCTTTCTTTCTTTCTTTCTTTCTTTCAGCTTATTTTTTCCATATCTGTACTAGTTTTCTGTCTATTTGTTTGTATATTAGTTAAGTAGCTATGTGATAAGTGCAGTAATGTACAGTAAGCCAGCCACATCACAAAATAAACCACTAGTATCCTGACAAAGAGTGGAGGGATAACTGTGTATTTTCCCTTATACACTGTGTGCACAATTATTAGGCAAGTGAATAATAATTCTGCACACTAATAGTTGCCTAATAATGGTGTACATGTAGATATTCTCTTAAGAACGCCAAAACTTCACTTTTACTACTTAAATGTTAAGGTTTGAGGGTTTGTTAACATTTTGGATTGACCAAGAGCACTGTAGTTGTACAATAACTAAATTAATCCTCAAAAATACAACTTGCCTAATAATTGTGCACACAGTGTATATAGTAGCAGCCTAAAGCACCCAGTGGTTGAAAGTCTCTTTCTCCTGCACAGTGAGGGGTGAGATAAGCTAGAGTGTGTCTTCTGTGCTCTTCATGTTGTGTGTCCTACCCAGCTGAGAGGCTCAGGTTTGTTGACTGCAGTCAGCTAAAGACAGATGGTGGGTGGCATATATCAGTATAGCCTGACCAAAAACTCTAGAGTTTTCCTTTCAAAAGTCTGGGTTATTTTTGTGTCTTTGAAGGTCTCTTATGCTCACCAAGGCAGCAAAAATATAGTAAAAACACTGATATTAAATATTATTACAATTGAATTATTAAAATGTTTCTATTTTAATATAGTTTAAAGTGTAATTAATTCCTGCGATGACAAAGCTGTATTTTCAGCAGCCATTACTCTAGTCTTCAGTGTCACATGATACTTAAGAAATCATTATAAGATGCTGATTTGGTGCTGAAGTAACATTTACTGTTATTATCAGTGTTGAAAACAGTTGTGCTGCTTAATATTTTTGTGGAAACCATACTTTTTTTTTTCTCCAGGAGTCTTTGATTAATAGAAAGTTCAAATTTTTCTAAAATTAAAGTCTCTTTACTGTCATATTGATGTATTTAATGCGTCCCTGCTGAATAAAAATATTAATTCCTTATATAAGTAACCTTACCCCACACTTTTAAACAAAATTATGTATGTACTGTCTAATTTATATTTTCAAACCTGCAGATTATTTAGGATTAAACCATTATATTGTCCTGAACAGTTAAACTGCCTGCCGTTTTTCAGAAAAATACTTCAAGTCCCACAAATTCTTTGGTTTTCGAGCATGCATATTTGAACCCTTTCCAGCAATGACTGAATGATTTTGAGATCCATCTTTTCACACTGAGGACAACTGAGGGACTCGTACGCAACTATTACAAAATGTTCAAATGCTCACTGATGCTCCAGAAGGAAACATGAAGAATTTGTGGGACCTAAAGGACTTTTTGAAGAACAGTGGGCAATTTAACTGTTCAGGACAAACAAGGGACTCATGAACAACTATATCCAAAAAAAAAAAAAACACAGCTGTGGATCATCCAGCTAATAACACAGTATTAAGAATCAAGCGTATGTAAACTTTTGAAAGGGGTAATTTTTACTTTTTTTTTTGTTTTGTTTGTGAACTATATGTAAATGTATTTCATGTGAAATCTTATTCAGGTTGTTACTAAATAAAAAATAACATGCATTTTTGTATGATCCCCTCTTGTTTTGGTAAAATAATGAACATTTGGCAGATTCTGTGTATGTAAAATTTTGACCACAACTATATAGTCTATTGTTCTGTAAAAGCACAATTTACAGTCTGTAGCTCCTTTTAAAAATCTTTTTCTATAGAAATCAGTACAGAATCAGCCCCCTACTATGAGCACACTTCCTCTGGCATTACATGAGGCAATGGAGTATAATACAGCTTACCACCTTCCACAGAAATCAGGAGAGCCCAACAAACTGACTGGCCAAATCAGAAAGACCTGTTAAACGCTTCAAGAAATCTGAACTTTTTTTTAAAGCACGTCATGTCTTTCATTACTCAAGGAAGTAAAAATCTAATGTATGGTGACCGCAGGTGTGTTTATGTGTGAGAGCAACTCTCACTCTGTCTTGTCCTGTGTCCTGATTTCCACAGATGAACCAACACAAGTGCTCAATCAGAGTCTACAAAGACCTGTTCTGAAAGACTACAACCACGGTAAAATCAAGAGTTAAAAAAGAGAGAGAAATATAGCATTTCTCTCCACTATTTTCTTTCCTTTTTTCTCTCTTCGCTATTAACTGCATTATTATTGCTCACTAACCCTGATCTACCAGCCCCGTGTCCTGAATGTCTTTTCTGTTTGGGTTAACGTCTGTGTTGCCCTGTCTCAATCATGTGTCACTCTTTTTATTGATTTTTTCACTTTTGTATACACACTAATGGTCAATAGTAGGTCCAGATAGGGCCAATTACTTATTTGAATGGCACATAACAGTCCCTTAAGGCCTCTCCTATCAAAAGGGAACTGCTTCTTAAGCTGCTGGTCATAAACATGACAGGTGTTATAATGTGATACGGGTTCAGCAAAAGCTTCAGACTGCTTCTGGCTGCAGATGTTCCTTTTCCAATGAAACAATGCTGGTGTTGGTGCTCGGCTTGCAGATACTGTGTGTTAGTGTGTCTCCACTGCCTTGAGAGGCAAACAATGATTTAACTGGCTGTTCCTTTATAAGCTGCCCACAAGCAAACAGTGCATCATGGTGAAATGGTGCAGCAGTGAAAATACAGATTTGGTTTAGCTAATAGATTTCTGGCCACTGATGTTAACAGTTCTTGGTTCAAGACCAGTGTGGAGCCATTTTTTTTTATTTAGATTTGCTTTTTTAAATGTAAATGCACAGAATGTAATGGGCTTTGGCTGTTGCAGCACCATCACCTCTACATTGTTGGTGGAAAAGGGGTAAGATTATAGAAAATTATTCTTAAAATTTCCATATATGAGTGTCTAATTTCCTCTTGTGTCCTTCTCATTGCATGAATCAGTATTTTCTGTCTGCTTGCACGTACATTGTGTTGTGTCTTATTTCAGTCAAGGGTGCTGCTTACAGCTCACAGCTCATGTCTGGTTGTGATTGGACAGTTGATGTAAGTGTCAGAGTCAGCAGGGTTATAATCAATGTCATGCACTCGCTTTAGCTGCCGTTACCGCCAGGTGTTAATGTGTCATCCAGAAACTCGCTGTGAGTCGAAAATGCCACATTTCCAGCCAAACTGAACGCCCAGAAATAGTGGGAACGTTTTTTTGCTGAAAAAGCTTTTCCGCTATTGTCTGTTGACATAGCCGTCACAAAATTGCAACTCCGATGAGCCGTTCCTTTTGACATGACAAGCATTAATGTAACAATCCAGTTTTTCTGTAATGAATGGGATCAGCGTTCATCAGCTGATATGTAGTAGGAATCAGAAAAGTTTGTAGCAAACTTCCATCTGTACTTGTTTTTGTGTTCCTATACTCTTTATACTCTAAGGTTTCAAAAGGGAGCTTTCACAGCAGTGCCATAGAAGAACCATTTTGGGTTCTAAAAAAAAAAATCCATTAGAAAGAGCCTTTTGTGCAGTGAAAAGGTTTATGCCTGTTCCACCTCTCAGATCTTCAGTTTGCCAGTGTTACGTATAGTAGTGATCATTCTATTATGCATCAGCAACATAAAACAAACAGATGTGACTGTCTTGTCAAAGGTTACTTCATAATCATTATCAAGGCACTTAAAAAATTAAGCTGTAACCCCATTAGCGGTTATTGGTTTTAATAGGAGTCCCTGCAAGCATACATGAAATACAATTACTCCTAGATCTCCTCCCACACCCACCCAGAGCACTGATAAAGTCTGCTCTCGCTCCCACTAGTGTTCTCTTATGACTTATCTCAAATTAGATTGTGCGCAGAAAAGAGAGAGTGAATAGACAGATAGAAAGATGTGTGCATATGCGCGATCCATCATAAGAAAGACTGCCGCAGCTCACATTAACTCCCCTCATATGTCTCTCAGCAAAAAGTAATGAAGGACACAGGGCATTCTGGGATATCGAGTGTGGCGCCCTCCCCTCCCGTGGTCCCCTGAGGCATTGGAAGGCATGTGGGAGTCTGGTTACGGGGCAGGGCACTGTTGCCCTTGTCCCTGTGTTTTATTCCAGGCTAGGCTGACTAATGGAGCCCCAGGCTTGTGTATGTTCATGCAGGCCTCTGCAGTTCAGCAAGACTCTCTGTTGGCCAGGCTAATTAGTTCTCATCTCACACCAGGCTTCAGTCCCATTCATCTTCATTTTGGCTGTGCCATCTGCTTTTTAAATAAAACTCTAAAGTGTCTCGTGTTGCACACACTTTGTCCTCTTGGTGCCTCCCAGCCTAAATGTAACGCTTTATTCTTACTGAGGTGGGTGTCTGATGAGCTTGTCTGTCTCTGGAGAGTTCTGTCATGTAGGAGATATTGTGTGTTTGTGTAGGACCCTTTATTTATTTATATATTCAGACTTACAGTGAACCTGAAATGGCCTTTGCAAAGTATTTTAGTTTCAAATTTCTTGATTAAAAAAAAATAAGAAAAAAATATAGGGCTTGATTTTATTCATTGAAACTGATTGGACTAGGGATGGATGGTATATCATATCAGTTATCAGACAATATTTTGTATGAGTTTTAATTTATTTTTTTATTTCAATTGCTTTATTTTAACACCAGGAACATGAATTAGGAAAATAAAAAGGGTCCATTTTAATTACATGCTGACTTTAAATGTGGTGTCTCTGACTATTTGTTTAATTACATATATATTAAAATTTTTGAATTTGAATTGTGCTAATTTTCCTTCTTTTTACATTTAGATTACGTTTGCGACACCTAACGTTCACTTAGTTAATGTTTAAAAACAATAATGATTTAATTACACTGTTAAATCTAATCTTTATTTCATAATAATAATACTGTACATTATAGTGTTGTGATGCTTACATTCACTCGTAGCTTTTAAAATGATTGATTTTAGTTTTTAATGTTTTATTTTACATTTGTTTCCATCATCTATTATATACTTTTTTATAATTTTAATAGTGGCCATTTATCTTTTTTTTAGCCATAACATTATGAAAATAATTATCAGATTTTTGGTATCAGTTGAATTTGAATATCTGTGCATTCTTAATTTCAACGCTACCCACTTAGGTTAAAGATCAATTTGACTCTCCAGAGCATCTCCACATATCCCAGTAGTAACTCTTCTTTCTAACATCTATCATTATTTGCTTTTATTGCTGTAACCTTTATTGAAGTAATTATCAATATTTTACAAAGGCTGCATGACCTTTAAAGTGGCCTAAAACAATGACTGTAAAGATAAATTTGGCTATTTGTTAGTATAATTTTTCACATAGCCTTGGTGACCTCAGCTGAAAGTCATTTCAGAGGCAGAGCAAGTTATATTTATTATTTAAAAGTTCACAAAAACATTTATATCTTTATAGTAATATACACTGATGAATTATTCACAATAAGACCACAAAAGTGTATTTAAGTAAACAAACAGGGTTCATTTTGACTTAATGTTGTCTTTAGAGCTTGTTATTTGCACAGAGTTTGTCTGTCTCTGAAGAGTTTTGTCAAATAGGAGACATTGTGTTTGTGTGGCAGCCTCATTCATTTATACAGTATAGGCAACCTTAACATCTGTGTATTGTTGAGTTGGTTCCCTTCTTTCATGGCAAGTGGATATAAATCTGAATTAGATATTCTGTCTCTCTGCAATATGTTTTTGACTGTTAGCTGATTGACAGTGTAATGAGTGCTGTGGGAAAAGACCAGTGACTGAGCGACCGAACACATGCTGGAGTATGTCAGCCCCATCCCGATCCCCTCTGCCACTGCGCAGTGTAAATACCCCTCAGTAATTGATCTCCAGGGCTTTAGTGTTTCACACTGCAGCGGAGCAGTAAAGTGAATTAAAATCAGACACATCTGCAACAGGAGACACCGTAATTAGCCACAAAAAATAAACTGGTCAGGCTGGTGTGTGTAGCCATTAGAGCAGTGGGAAGAACATGGATGTATGTGTGTGTCGGAGCGTAAGCCAGTCGGAATTGTCAGATGCAGGCTGGAGCAATGAGACTTGAGATTGCATTTTCCTGCAAGGCTTTTGGGAGATTCCCTTTACACGAGCGGGCGGCCGCTTTAAGAGTCTGACTTTCTCAAATCGAGTAATCTATGGAGATTCAGGTCCCTAGACTTATGCCTTTGGCCGTCTATTACTCTCTTGGACTCAGAGGTGTAAATGCTGAGGTCAGAACACACACTCATGGATCCTTACACTGCCTTTTTTGTGCACTACACACATCCAAAAATGTGTGCTGTGGTCAAGATTGAGGGGTAAAAGCTATCCGACTCATTTTAGGAGCCTCTAAGGAGTCTCTCGTCCCTCTCTCCTTCTTTCTCTCTCTTCATCTGAGCCTGAAGCAACACTTAAAGCCTTTAAGTGTGACCGGAACCCCACATCCCTCCTCAGGATGAAGATAAAGATGCTTTATGACTTGAGTGACCAGGGTTAGGATAAGACTTTCGACAGAGAGAGGACGAGTGAATGAACTGAGGGAGTGGTCTGGCTCTTAAGGGGGCTTGGGCTTCAGAAATGATGGATTGATTGTATTTGACCACATGGAGTACTTTTAATCCACATCGAAATTGATTCAAGAAATACAGTTGTAGCTTTTACATGTAACTCTTGCCTTGGCTTCTCAGTTCAAGCATACCTTTAATATACATACCTTTATGTGAGTCAGGAGAGGAGGGTAAAATGCGCCACATATATCTGGCATCTATTGAAAAGAGAATTTTCAATGTTATTTTTAACCATGTTATGGACTACTTTGAAGAATATGTGGACGACTTGAAGCAACCAGCGCAGCTTACCCCAAGCATCTGAATCATATTGGAAGAAATTTGGAGAGTGCATCATAATCATAATTTTTAAAAAGGTTAATTATGTGATGTGAATCTCTCAATTGCAGGTAGCTGTATTTGAAGTGCCCTTTTTTTAAATATAAGGTCACTAGATGGAGGGAGATAGCATGGCTTACCCTACTCTCCTTTGTCAGAAAAGGCACCAATACTTTTGTCGCACTGCTGCCTTAGATGCTGCTAGAAAACCCTGCTTTTTCTGAGCTATTAG